TGAGATCACTAGATTACAAGAAATTGGGTTCCAAAATGATAGTTTCATTTTTGAAATTTCCGGTAATATATTGTGGGATGTGTATGTGTTAGAAGTACATAAACTTAAAAAATTATCTAAAAAATAATTAAATTATTTACTAATTTATAATAAATCTGTATATAAAACTTTAGTAATCTGATTTAAAATTCTTGTTATTAAATTCTTTTTTAGATTATATAAAATATTAGATTATTATATAAATATCAAAATCTTTTATAAATAATAAAATTAATTAAAAAAAATTATCTAATATTTCTTTTATCTTTTCTCTTCTTCTTTATAAATAATCTAATTATTTTCTAGATCTTATATATTTTTAACATACAGATTATGAAATAATTTATAATCTTAAAAATCTTAATATATATGTAATCAAGTTTTTTTATAATAATTTCATTTTTCTTAATTTTTTTTTATAACATATTATATGATAAATTTAAAAGAATGATTTTTTAAGAGAAAATTATATATGACTTTATAATTTCTAAATATATTATACAAAGATAAAATTTATTTTAATTATAAATTATTATTATATATAAATAATTTATTATAAAATAATTATCAAAAAAATATAAGATCTAATAATATAAATTAATTTAAAAATACATAAAATATTCAATATTTTTTTTCATACTCTATATATAATATCTTTAATATTTATCATATTTATAATAATATTTTAATATATAAAATATATAAAATAACTATTATTTTAAAAGTTTGTGATTATTTTTATAAGTTTTTTTTATAATATATAAGTTAAAAGTAAAATATTAAAAGTATTGATAAATATAATAAAATTTTGAATAAGTTTAGGAATATTATAATCAAGATAATTTTTTGGCTAATCTGATTTTTTTTTGAGTAAAAATTCTTTATTTTTTTTATTTTATTTAATCCTATTATGATTTCTTTAATATTAAAAATTATAATAATCTGCTTATATAATATGAGAGTCTAATATTAACTCTAATATTATTAAACATTAAAAAAATATTAATGAATGTTAAAAATTATTTATTATTTATGATTAATTAAGAAAGTTTAATCACTATTCAAGTTATTCATATAAAAAAAGGTATATAAATTTTTAAGAAATTTATAATTTAAAAACTTCTTTACCTTTTACATTATTTATATGCTTGTATAATTAGTAAGTTTTATATTAGTTAGAAAAATTGAATAATGATTTTCATATATCTATATTTTTGTATTAGATTATAATTTTAATTATATAAATATTTAAATAATATTTTAATTTAATTTAGAACTAATCTTAATAATGATACTATATTATTATTAAAAATATTTTTGATTTAATAATTTAAAAATAATTTAAATAAAATTATAACTTTTTTAAGTAGTTATTATAATTTTAAATACATAATTTAATTTGTAATATTAAAAATTAAAATAAAATAATAATCTTAAACTTTAGAAAATTATATAATTCAAACTTGTAATTTAAGTAAAATTACTCATTTTCTATCAAAATATATTTTTTTGTTATAAGTAAAGTTTATGCTAATTAATTTTGATTAAGAGATCAAAAAGAAATAATTATTTCAATAACATTAATAACATTCCTAATTATGATGCATAATATTTAAAGTTATTAAAATTAAATGTTTGTATTTATAAATTGTTATGCACCATATAAATTTTTTTTAAAAACAAAAAATCAATTCTTTATCTCGAAATAACTTACGGATGGCATTATTTCATAAAATAACATGCCCTAGACATAATAAGAAGGGCGCGTGCCTCGGGTTGGGGCATGCACAAATATTTTACTGGATTAGGATAGCGAAATTTAACAAGAAATATTCTTCATTAGAACACAAAAGGCGATTTCATAGTCAAATTTCGAGATACAAGCTATTTTTCAAAAATGTGTTAATCCTGATTTTGGACCTATACTTTGGATAATTGTGCCCTCGATCATTGGTGATGATGGGACTTTTGTATACTGGTACCACTCGAAAATGGTTACATGCGACAAGTCTAGATGATTCCTTTTACCTCCTTTACATTGTCTACTCGCAAATTCTGCATTGAAAGCCCTGATCAAGTGTGTGGTGACGGGGAAATATAAAGAGGCAGCAGATCCTTGCATTTCGGCAGTTATTTAAAATGATGTGAATTCATAGCTTAGTCCTTGTTGGTCGTGCCTTTACGCTTAGTAGCAATAAACGAAGTGGAATACAATGACTTGACTGCAAGAACTGCAAAGCTATAATAAATGAATAAAAAATTCGATTTACGATATCGAGGGTCACTTTGAAAGAGTGTGCTAAGAGTCTTTTGGCGACTTAAAGTTAGTTGGTTGTACACGTTATTTTGCTAGACTTGAATCGTTTCCTTCTAACGTCCCTCTTCCTTCCTCATGACAGCATGATGTTCTAATTCAATCAGAAAAGGAATACAATTTGTCACACTTGAAAAATGATAGAATCAAAAGTTGATGTAATTGTTGACAATAGAAAAAATGACATAACAGATTTAGCTCATAAAATGCATAATTTCTGGAACTTCTTTTATATGTTATTAATCTTGATATATTTGAAGATGAAAGTATTGTTTCAGGAAAAAATATATTTATCTCATCTTATGTCCTTTGAAAGGTCACCAATGATAATACCTATATTTGGTATACAGATTTTGATTTGACTCTTGTAGCTTTCATGTTTATCTTGGTATTTCAGACATTATAATTTTGAATTGGACCACATAAGAAAAGCATAGAATAATAAGACTTGAATGATATCTTACAAAAGTAAAAGTTTATTTATCTGATAATTTTCCTTGTAAAAGTGCAGCCTTAAATCTCGATATTTTTCGTGGTGGTGTTGGTGTTGGTGATGGTGATGGTTGCTGCAGATTTACATCAGAAGGTGAAGGCGAAGGTTTTTGGGGAGAAACCTTATTTTTTGTATATACGAGTAAACTAATTATCGAACAAAAATAATAAAACCAGTACTTGAAGTGGACTTACCGGTGTTTCTTGACGTGATGACAACGACGACAATAATGAATCACTCGATAACTTAAATTGATCTTCTGTTGTTAATGAATCACGAAACTTTCTTTTGCTATCATAGTAATTTATGGTAACCTTCCATAATTAACGAGTACCATCAGTCAACTATCAATTAATAATTGAAATTAACGTTAATTTAACAAAAACCTCTTTCATTAACAGTTCATCTTCAGTGTCTTCCAACAAATCATTTCTTTCTTCTTGAGTCGGTTCCTTTTCAACAACCACACTCTTTACTGGACCTCTATTACTGTTCTCTCTGATTCGAGAATTCTTGTTATCAATTCCATCACGAGCGCGTAATCCAGTAAAAGGAGTTATTGCTGATGACGATGTTTTTGTAATAGTTTGATTTTTTTTCTCTGTTAATGATCTTTTAAAGATCGATTGTTCTTTTGGTGTTTGATTATCTGATAATAATGTGGAATGCACAGGATGAATTTGTGATGATTGTGTTAGGATTGTTGGTGATATTGATGACTCTTTAATACTACTAGATATAGGGGTTGTATTATATAAAGTTGTCTGTTCTGAAAATCGAACTTTTTTTGTTTTTTGTATTTGTTGCTTTATTGACTCTTGTTCTTCTTCAACATCTTCAAACAATGCATCCAATTCCTTATCTAATCCCTCTTCATCTTCATTCTCCTCCTCTTCATCCTCTTGATGATCTTCATCGAGTTCATCATCAGAGTCCGCGACTTGATTAATAACACGAACTTTTGCACGAGAGCTAATCTGTGCTTTTTCCTCATCTTCTTTTCTCTCTTGCTCTCTCTCTTCTTTTTCAAGAGCATCCCAATCGACAACCTCTTTAAGTTTATTATTCTTAATATCTTTGAAAGGTTTATTAATCGTAAATAAATTACCATTTTCGAATGCTTGGAGAGGGAACCAAATGAGATATACATACAATGGTCTACATCAACTGATTTTTTCCGAGGTTTTTGTTGTGTTTTTGTAATCGATTCTTCATCCTCCTCTCCCTCTTCATGCTCAACAATATCCACAAATGGTAGCCCTTCTTCATTAAGCTATGCACCGGAATAGACGAAAAAAAATTAAAAAACAAATTCCTTAATTTAATAATTAATAAAAGATCTACTGCTAATATGATATTATAACTCACCACATTAGGATTAGTTTCCAAGATATTACTTGTCATATTGAATCGACTAATAAGATCGTTCAATTGTGTCTCGAGATTTTTAATATTTTGATTCACAACTAATTAAAAAAAAGACGGGGAAAGGCCTTACAAACTTAATAATTAATATCAATAGCTCAAAATTGAACAAATTTAAAAACTGCTCAATTGATTTTTTATAATTTCACTCACTCACATTCACACCTCCTATTCACAATTTCAACTGCATGTTTGGTAGAACATTCAGTGAACCAGTTATCACCAAGTAATGCCAGTACCTCGTTGGTGTGGATTAATTTCCCAGGCATGAACGCCAGCTTTCCAATTGGCACCTATTATATAAATATATATTTCATTTATTTCACTATATATATATATATATATATCTATCTATTTGTGTGTGCAAAGTATTATAAAACTACATCAGACCAACAAACCATAATATTATACTCTCGTTTTTCTGCTAACTCGGCCAATGTGCTTTTCAACTGTAAATGGTCCGTTTCGAATTTCTTCCACTTATCGAGTTCTTCATTTGTTGTCTGGATTGCTTTTTCGATTTTACCTTGATAAAATTGAATATTCAAATCCGAGGAAGAAGTAGTAACTTTTGCCTTTGTGGACATTATCTGTTTAAAAATTAACCAGCGTCGCCAACAAAAATTCACGCTCACATGATCAAAAATGTGACGTATGCAACAGGAATATACAGTCAAACGGGAACCGATCATAAACATGCATTTAAAGAGGATGTGCATTTAGATAATCAACCAATCACTGATCACCATAATGAAACAGACAAGCAATATTATGATTTATCAATATAATAAAATCAATTCTCTCTTTATTTAAAGTACTTATTTATGTGAGTTTGATGAGCTGAACTAATTATTTTTTCTCTAATAAATTTTTAATTAATCTTTAATTATTCATTCAAATTCTCTTGTTAAAGCAAAAATATTTGAACATATTCTAAATTTTTTAATGCTAAACTACCATTAATAATTGTAGTTTTGATGCTATTATTCTTTTCTTCATTTATTATTTCAATATTTTCTTTCGTACTTTTATTCTTTTTGAATATATATGTAAATTTCTTAATAATCTGATTATTTAGAGAAATTTTATAAATAAAATTCTTATCATTAATAATAAGAAACTCATCAATATTCATTATATTAAAAAAATAAAGTGTATCAAGTATATTAATAAGCTTATTAAATATTGAATTATCAATTTTATAAATATTATTAATAAGTTTATAAATATCAGTATTAGTACTAATTGTAAGAATTCTTGTATAATACTAATAATTACATATATTCTTGATCAAAATTTCTTTTTAAGTCTTGATAATATATTAAATTACTTATAAAATATTTATTTTTAAATCTTAAATAAGATTATCTACTTTTTAATATTTATAAGTTAATGCAAAAAATTTGTATATTAATATAAAATTAAATAATTATTTCTAATAAAAATCATTTAAATTTTAATTAATCTTTATAATTTTTTTATATTAAATAAAAAATGATCTAAATTAACTTATTATATTATTTTAATTATTTTATTATATTTTAATTTAATAATAAGAAATAATCTAAATGGAACATCCTGTTCCAGGAACAATCTCGAAAAGTCATGTGATACAATCGACCAATTACACATTACATATTATATTATATTAAAGTGTAATCCAAATGTATCGTGTAACTATTTTACATACTTCACATTCACCACCAGTTTTTTGCAAAATAGTATCCAAAAACTCAAGAAAAGTTGAAATGAATGCAGAAATTTATGTACAGGGTATGACTTACGGGTTTGGGTGTTAAAAAATAATAGATTATGCAAAACTTAACTATCAAAACTCCTCAAGATAATAATTCTCTCACCATATCAATCGATATTATGATTTATGATATATGGATGACTTCTTTAAATATCAAAATATAACAATTTATATCATGTTAAGATCCAAAATTTTACTGCAAATATAGGACAAGAAGAAATAGCCATATCACCTTTAAATGAGGGTATATTTAAGGGCAAAAAAAGCCCATGTATTAGTTATTTCTATTCCTAATATAGAACCTATTTCCCTAATATAAAATATATTTCTTATGTAGAACCGGCCAATCAAGCACTCCAGGATGACATAACTGAAGAAATAGCCGAATCAAGTAACCAAGTCCAAAGCACTGCAAATGAAGGTGAGATTATTAGTTGTAATTTTAGTTATATTAGCATTAGATTACTTGTTAATTTTACCTTTATCTACATATAAATGGCCATGAAGTCATAAATCTTTATGTCGGTTATATCTTTGAATCGTGGGAAGAGGTTGATAGTATCATAAAAACCTATGGCAAACGAAAAGGATTTGGAGTTGTCCGAAAAAGATTAGAGCGACATGAAGGGGGACATATAAAGCATCTTAGTTATAGATGTGAATTTAGTGGCCATTCTCAACCAAAAAAAAAAGTTGATGTTCATGACCATCGCAATCATAAATCGAAATGACAAGGATGTAATTGGCACGTTAATATCAACTCTCTACAAAATGCTTCAGTCATAACTCTTACCACTTTTGATAATACACACAACCATCCATTAGACGCTAATGCTCAACATTATGCTCTAATATACCAGAACATCTCTAAGAATATTCTTAATGAAATTCAATTTTTGATCAAAAATGGAAACCTAACAATTGGTACTCAAAGAAGGTTATTGAAGGCAAAGTTTCTAGATGAATCCATTCTCGACCGTGATCTTGCAAACACCATACAAAAATTCAAAATTCATACTGATGAAAACCTGGATACATCCCACCTACTAACAACTCTTATCGAATGAAAATCACATGATCATTAATGGGCTGTTGAGTTCGAGCTGGACAATGAAAATTGACTTACCTGTCTCTTTTGGATATCACCAGCACAGATTGTTCTTTGGTTGGAGTACTATGATGTTCTCTTAAATGACAACACCACCAAAACAAACCGGTATCAAATATCACTTTCGCTTTTTCTTGCCGTGGACAACAATATGAGGTCACGTCTTGTGACACAAGCTCTCGTGTCAGACGAAACAACTGAGTCCTATAAATGGATCCTAGAATGCATCAAAAAAGCAACAATGACTGAGCCATTAGTATTCGTTACGGATGCGGATCCCGCAGCAGATGCCGTAATCAGACAAATATATGAAACCACCTATCCAATTCACTGCATTTTTCATATCAGTGAAAACCTACCAAAAAATCTCAAATCTAAGCTTTATAATCAATATGAGAGCTTTGTTCATGACTTTTTCCTATGCCGCAACAACTTGTGTGAAGAAGGTTTCTATAAACAATAGTCACAACTTGTCGAAACATACCCTAACGTTAAAGATTACCTGATGAGGGCACTCTATCCCAATCGATAAGCGTGGGCCCGGGCATTTATATCAAAAGTATTCACAGCAGGAATTCAAACTACCTCCCGTGTTGAAGACCTTAACCACATTATCAAATGCACATTGATAGTAAGTAGTAGTTTGTGTAATCTCGTAGATGCACTAGATGCGAGACTTCAAGACGAGGCATAGTGGAATCGTTTTTTTGAATATCACACCATGTCATCTTGTATGGAAATCGTATCGGTTGGTCATGATATTTTTCCAGAAGTTGACAAACAAATGACCAAATATCTTACCCCCCACATATTGTCTGCCGAACGGTTGGAAATGACACAATATCTATATTTCGTTGCAGATCAAATGGATACACCAAATATTCAAGATGAGGTAATGAGATCTAATACAAGTATTCGAAGTTATTTGAGCATAATCTAACATTTTTATTATGTTTAGGATTCTAATCTTGGCGTGATGGATGAATTTATTGAGAACTTATATAATGCCAAGCAAATTCTATTGAAATCAATGATTGCTGAGGTTGGCGAAGAAAATGTTCAAGAAGTGTGGAAAATCAAAGACATACGGTCTGAAAATAAACACTCACATTTCATAGTAGTGGTCGATTCTATTTCTTATCTTTGTTCATGCATGTCTAATATATCTCGTGGTATCATTTGTCACCATTATTTTCGAGTCATGATGCATTCAAGGGTTGCAGGATTTCATATTCAAATAGTACCTGTTCGGTGGTATAATGATGAACGAAAAGATAAAGATATAATCACGAATACCTACTATTTTGCCAATCAAGAATCGGTAAAGAATCAATCGAACGAAATACTTACACCAAATCCCTTAACCATACCCAAGACTGTAACATCTATTTTACGTCGTGCAGTGCAACGAAAAGCCAAATATGGAGAGGTGTGGAGACTGGCACGATATGCAGCCCAACTTGCTGTTGATCACGATGACCATAGTGAAATGGTAGTATAGTTAAAAGAGTTCATTGACTGGCACAAAAAAATAATAACTACACTTACCGGGTCTGTGCGAAATTGAAATCTTCAAGAACCCTTCGAAATTCAACCTAATGATGCAAACAAGGAAAATGAATCTGGACCAATCAAAAATCCATTAGTGTCACAATGAAAGGGACATCCGGAAACCAAACGTTATAAATTTATAACTGAAAAAAAAGGAAAAACACGCTCATATACCTGTGGTGCCTGCGGTCAATTGGAACATAATAGTGCGACATGTCAAAATCGCTAAGGTATTTACTCATTTTTTATTCATTAATTCTCTATTTAACTAACTCACAAATTAGGTCATCACAATATATTAACCCTAACCCAATCATTTTAGGTATATGATTATCACATTTCAACCAATAAAAATCACTATGTATCACGTTTTTTAATAACCAATCAAATAAAAATTTTGAAATTTCCGGCCCTAGCTGAACTAATTTTCCGAGATTGTTCCTGGAACAGGGTGTTCCAATTAGATTCATCCTAATAATAAATAATATATTATTTTACTAAAAAAACTAAAATAAAATTTTTTTTTAAAAAAAAAGATATTTTAAATATTATTATTATTAATTTACAAGATTAAAACTTTAACTTACATAAGCAAATTGCTCTAGATTTGATATATATTTTAAATTTCATAAAAATTAAATTAGTAGTTATAAAGATATTAAGATTTAAAATTAAATAATTAAATTATTTACTATATAATATTTATATTAATTTTAATCAAATTTTATATAATAAAATTTAAGAAATAATAAT